CCCCATTTCTGAAGAAGGGTCCAGACCCGAAACGTCACGTTTCCTGCTCCTCTGATGCTGCTTGGCCTGCTGTGTTCATCTAGCTCTACACCTTGTTATCTCAAAATAAACTTCAATACTGGTTTTCAAAGCTAGATGTTACAGAGATTCAATGCAGAGAAATTAGAATTCTCTCAACTCATTAGGTTTCCATTCAACTGACACTTTCTTTGTCATGGACTACAGAAACAATTTTACAATTTCATCCTAAATCTCCAAGCATAAACCTTTCACAGTTTAAGGGGAGGCGATGGCCTTGTGGTATTATTACGAGACTATTAATTCAGAAATTCAGCTAATGCTCTGAGGACCTGGGTTTGAATTCAAATTTTTTTTAAAACTCTGGAATTAAGAATCTACCAATGAGCATGAAAATTACCATTGTTGATTGTCAGAAAAACCTATCTGGTTCACTAATATCCTTCATGGAAGGAAATCTGCCATCCCCACCTGGTCTGGCCTACATGTGACTCCAGACCCGCAGCAGTGTGGCTGACTCTGAACTGCCCTTGGAAATGGCCTAACAAGCCACTCAGTTCGAGTGCAGCTAAATGCTGGCCAGCCAGCGATGCCTATGTCCCATGACTGAATTTTTAAAAAAAAGTTCTGAGGGCCTAAACTTTCTTAGTTGTAACAATTTTAAGACTTCTTTACAAGCTTTCCTGCCTTGGAAATTCCACAGATTAGAAATACTTCTGCTGAGGTGACAGGTTCCCCTGAACTGAGTAATACCGCAGTTACCTCAGAACCAAAAAAGCTGATTTTTTGGCTGGGAAGTTAAAACTAAAATAACGGCTTATATTCTGTTTACTCTGCATGTCATAAACCCACCATGACAAACATTTTATCCTTTACCATCACTGGGGACCCCTCAGGCATCAATCCCAGTCACATGCTTTCTTTATATCGATGCATTTACATCACTGTTTCAAAACTCCTGCCTGAATTTAAAAAAAAACTTTCACACAACTGACCAAAATGTTTCTGACTCCATTTTAAACTCCAAACTTTTGATACAACTGCATATTTTCATGGTTAAATTAGATGGTTTATTGAGCAACAATGGTGTCAAAGATTGTGGAGCTGAGATCACAATCAGATAAACAATGTATGACATTTTGTATGGTCAAATGGTGTATTCCTGTTCCTAATGTTTACGTCTTTGTGACCTGAACTTTTGGGATACAGTGTATTCTTGGCTGTTCGGGTCTGTTATAGGAATGTAAATTCGCTAGCAGCACATAAAGCTTCCTTGCCAATTTTCAAGCAAGTGATCAGTTGCGTCATCTGCCTCTGGCCAATCACTTCCTCTGACTAGCTGAGGTGCTGACTGGGCAAGGGGCCTTTTGAGAAAACTTTCACAACTGCATTGCCCTCGGAAGATTGCTGTGAATTGCCCATTTAATATCTTTTAGTGGCTTCCTCTGCTGCTGTACAAAGGTTGTCATCACTGCAGAGACTCCTAAGAAAAGCAGGACAGACAACTGGCGCAATGCATTAATGTTTGATTTTGCTCACTGCCTCATCTCCAAACCTGCCTCAAATGGCCTGGCAACCCTCCCCCTATTAACTGTGTAGGTCTCTCCATAGATGCTGCCAGCAGCTTCTGATTTCCAGCACCTATGTAACTTCCCTTCTGTAATCGAGGAAGAAGTGCTTCCTCGGATCAGATGCTGCATGTCAGAAACAGTGTCCTCATAAAATTAGCTCTGAAATCAACCATAAATAAGCAAACAGGTGTGCCTACCTGAGGTCAGGAGTCACAGGGAGCCAGAGGTTGTTGTCTTTCACGGAGGTGATGCTGGGGATATATCCGTGGTCAAATGGATGATGGGATGCCCATTTCTGCTCAATCAGCCTGATTGTTGTGACCGTTTCTTGCACATCGATAGTCATCCAGTTCTGAACAAGCCACCAATCTGGGAGTGGGCTTACAGGTGGGCAGATACGTTTAACATTGAGCAGCAGCTTGGGACTTGTCATGTATAACTGCTGCTGGATGAAGAAGTAGAATCTCATGTGATGAGGGCCTCGGAAGAAGTAATTACAGTTGTCCTTGTCGTAGCCTTTCTCATCAAAGCCAAACACATCAAACCCGTTCTTATCCAAACCAAATTTGTTGTATCCATACATATTATAGCCCCTGTCAAAGAGGGACTCAATGAGCTCCACCTCAACGTAAGGCAGGTAGGACTCATCCTTCCGCATTCCAAATGGTGTGACTTGTGATCGATTGAAGCCGTACCGGTTATATCCAGAAATGTCAAACCCTTCAACGTCAAAACCATCCCGGTTGAAATGGTCTCTGCTGTAACCATATGGATCCCAGCCGGATTGGTCGTAGCCATGGCGATCGTACCCGTGCTGATTGTAGCCGTGTACATCGTATTGTCCCTGCAGCTCCGACTGGGCAGTTCGATCACTATCTTCCCCGTTGTAGTCGTCTCGGTGACGGAGCGGGGGGTCAGGGGTCGTAACGTTGCAGGGGGCACCGAGTGTAACTGGGGCATAGGTGGTACACAGCTGTTGCTGAGACAGGAGGATATCATCAGGGGCCATGTCAAACGGTTTCATCTTCACAAACCGGAGCTCAGGAGGATAACGGGGCAAGCCACTGGGACTGCGGTCTTGCCAGTGGGTCCAAAGCTTGTCGATAAATGCATAATGAGACAGGAAGATTGGGTCATAAGGACTGAAAGGTGAGGCCATGTGACCTCCAACCCAAACATGGAAAAGGCCCGAGATGGCCTCCATCTGAATGGAGAATTGATTAAAGTCTTCTTCGGCCAATATCAGCTGGATGTTGATGGCATCAGGCAGAGCGACGGAAGAGTTAAACTGGCGACGGAGACAAGGTTCCCATTTGCTGTCCAGCTGGAAAGGGTGATGTAAAACACAGCCTGTCTCAGAGTCTCCATTTGGCCCAAAGAAATTAGCCTGCCAGGCAGTCGAGCTCTCCATCGAGCCCACGTCAATGGTCCACTCGAAGTACGGGATGCTGATGTCACATGATACCTTCTGTAGCTCCCGCTCAACCGTGCGGAGAAAGTATCGGTGCCAGGGAAGGAAGGTAGATAGGCCATTGGCCTGTGGGGCATACTCTGCTCTCAATGTGGCAAACTCCTCCCAAGTACCTGTCAGGTCATAGGAAAGCACACTGTTATTATACAGGAATTTATCATTTATAGGTGGCTTGGTGGTTAGCATTGCTGCCTCACAGCACCAGGGACCCAGATTCAATTCCACCCTCAAGTGACTGTCTGTGTAGAGTTTGCACATTCCCCCCATGTCTGTGAGAGTTTCCTCCAGGTTCTCCGTTTTCCTCCCACAGTCCAAAGATACGCAGGGTAAGTGGACTGGCCATGCTAAATTCCCCATAGTGTTCAGGAATGTGTAGATTAGGGCGATGGGTCTGGGTGGGATGCTCTAAGGGTCAGTGTGGACTTGTTGGGCCGAAGGGCCTGTTTCCACACTGTAGGGATTCTATCATATATTCTGTTCATAATCAGCAGGATCCCACACACAGCAATGTGATGGAAAATTTGGTTCATCTGTTTTAGTGGGTTTGGTTGAAGGAGAATAAGCAGCACAAATGATTGAAGAAGGAATGTCAGACAATCCTGTAAGCATTCTTTAATTCTGGCACTAAACAGAACTGATGGTGCGGGGCTGTGGTGGTGACTTTAATGTTAACAGAGGGACTTGCACTGCTGCTACATATGGCCACACCTCTACAGCATTCAGCTCAAGAATGTATCAAGTAGTTTGGTGAATAGGTGAAGTTGGACTCCGTTCTGAAGGAAAGAGGCTGCCTGTTGGTGAATCTATTTCTCCAATGTCCCAGGTGGTGTTGACATAACAAATGGTCAGAATCTGTTTAGGTGATTACGTTGAGAGATAAATAATAAGCAGGAAACCAGGAAGAATCCCATTCCTTATTTTCAAAATAGGATCATGGGGTTTTATCAACTACTTAAAAGGGAAGACAAGGAATCAATGTGATGGCGAGAAATCAGCATTATCATTTCTGGTCAAGCGACCCTTCTTCAGAACTGGAGTTCCTCAGTTCTGAGGAAGGGTCACTCGACCCAAAACATTAACTCTGATTTCTCCCTACAGATGCTACCGGACCTGCTGAGCTTTTCCAGCAATTTCTGTTTTTGTTTCCGATTTACGGCATCCGCAGCTCTTTTGGTTTTTATTTTGCTCGATTTAATGTCTCATCTAAAACACAGCACCTTAACCTCAGACACAGACGTAGACACACAGACAGGCAGGCAGGTTTAGATATTTGTGTGTACATATACACACACACACATATCGCTGGGGGGTAAGGTGAGGCAGGATTGACAGATAAAGACAGGATTAGACTCAGCTGTGTTGTTCCTTGTATGAAAAAACACAGCTGCTGGCTCTCAGGAACATGCCCGTTCCTCACACTCTCAGACACACAGATGTAAGTGTGCCCTCACACAGTGTGCACCTTTGTACACACGTGTTCCCTCACACTAACGTGGAGCTGAGACAAGGCCATACCTTGTTTCGAGTAGAGATCCCGTATTGCTGCCTGATAAGCCTTCATCTCAGTAGCCATCATGTCCCGGATCTCCTTGCGTTGACTGACATGCCGACAGTTGCATTCGATCACTCCGGTGTAACTGCACAGACAGATCTCACAACCGTACTCGAAGGACTCGCCAAAGTGATAGGAACGACCTTGGAAGGTGCAGCCACAGCTCTGGCCACAGAAGATGTCCTCACACCTTTGGCCTGGTCTGAAGCTGACCACCTCTCTCCTCAGGTCAGCTCTGTTGATGGCCTGGCAGTGTGATGATGGCAGGTATTCACAATGATAGTCAAAGGCTGCAAAGTAGCCAAGATAGTTGAACCCCTCACGATTGATCCCAAAACAGTCAAACTGGGCACGGTTATAACCCTCAGCGTTGAATCCAGTTGTGTCGAACTCGCCTCTGGAGTCGTGCTCTCCTCTTTTGTTGTATCCAGTCAGATTAAACCCAGTGTCCTTGTGAAACCCATCCCGGTCGTAACCCTGTTTGTCAAACCCATACTTGTCAAACTCACGCCCATCGCTCAGGCCACTAAAGACCTGTCCATTTGGTCCGAACAGTGCAGGTCCAGAACGCACGGGGTTAAAGGCCACCACCTGCCTCCCAGACCGGTCCAGGCCAGATGTGTTGTATCCATAGCGATCGTAACCTTCATGATCATAGCCAATCAGGAAGTTGGTCAGCTTTGGCTGACGGAAGCAGCAAGCACCGACCTCACATCGCTTCGTGCATTCCTCATGTGTCTGAAAATTGTTGCTGTTTCCGCCACAGCCACTGTAATCAAACTCCTCACACAGACCCGAGAGGGTGCTGTAAAACCAGCGCCTTGATGGAATGCGGTGTTTTCCTTTACAAATACCTGTAAGCCTGGGCAGAGAGCAGACCTGTAGAGTGAACAAGGGCGAGGGTTAAAGATCAACCAAACACACCTTAACAATAATCTGCACTTACGGCCACATCGCCACAATACTGGGACAAGGTCAGTTATTGTGCAGTCTCACACCCCCACGCCCCTCCCCACAACCCCTAAAGGGTTGGTTCTGATAGACCGAATGGTCTGGTCTAATACTCCCTTTCGATGGGTGACCATGTCAGCCTGTTCCATCCAATGAACATAATCAGCTTTGGCCATGAACTGCTCAGCATGTCACTACCTGAACCATGGGCTTCTCACACAGACGTCCTGTGGATGTCGCAGGGCAGCTGCAGGTAAATCCAGAGGGTTGTTGCCCAGAGTCTGAGGGGAGAGCTTTGCAGCGACCCCCATTCTTGCAGGGTCTGGTAACACAGGGATCTGGGAACAAAGCACAATGTTCAGAGCATGAGGCTAATGAGCGATAGGGGACAAGCATCAAGGGAATTGCTGACTGTTAGCACAGGAGAACAATTTGTATCTAGGAGTTTCAACAACAGCAAGGTTTCTCTCCCTACACATCTGAAAGGGCACATTAAACTTCACATTATCATCTCCCATCTGAAAACCAGCACTGGCAGTGCAAATCTCCCTCAGTATTACAGCACTACCAATACTGCACTCCCTCAGTGCTGCCCCTCTGCCAATCCTGCACTCCCTCAGTGCCGCCCCTCTGCCAATACTGCACTCGCTCAGTACCCCACTCTGTCAACACTGCACTCGCTCAGTACCGCCCCTCTGCCAATACTGCACTC